GAGATTTCATCACTGTGTGAATGCCACCAAGCTTGCTCACTGGAACTGAGATGGTGTGACCCACCACACACCGAGGCTATGGACATAGATGCCACAGAGAAGCCCGTCCCCAACAGAAAGGTCATAGTGCACCCTGCGCATTGCCGTTCCCGTTTCAGAGAATTTTTCCCGTGGCTCCTGTTCACCATGCAGTTGCCGTCATGAAAATAGCGCTTCCCACACTTGGGCAGAGTGGGTCTGTAACTCACATATTTTTAACTTTTTGAGACAGAGGCTCACTCTGTAATCAAGACTGGCTTTGTGCTCACAGCAATCCTCCTGCCTCAGACTCCCAAGTGCTAGATTGTAGGTTAACTCACAGTTTTGAGTGTCACTGGTACAAAAGAGAATATGTGAACTCCCAACATATATAAATGTATAACAAACAGTTCATATTCAGGAGTCAGCAGAAACAAATAAAATATAGATGTCTACACCCTTTTCTTAAAGAAAAAATAAACAGGCATAAAAACACAAAGCTGCTTCAAAACTGTGAAAATTAGAATTTAAGACCTGAGTTCATACACTTTGGCATTTATTTCATCACAAAATGTCTTTTCAAAACTTTTTCTACTCTTTAGTACTTAAAATTATGTTTACTATAGTATGAATATTTAAGCAGTTTTGGTCGGGATAAACAAAAATCAAATGGAAAATACAGTCTGCATTAGACAGAAAATAACTTTTTTTTTTCCAAGACAGGATTTTTCTGTAGCTTTGGAGCCTGTCCTGGAACTAGCTCTTGTAGACCAGGCTGGCCTCGAACTCACAGAGATCCGCCTGCCTCTGCCTCCCAAGTGCTGAGATTAAAGGTGTGCGCCACCTCCACCTGACTAGTATCATTGTTTTAAACGCTATCTTTTGGAAGCAAATAGAAAGAGAAAACACTGTCATGCTGCAAATGCTTTCTGCCTTTCCATGGTGTGAATACTGTCACTGATTAAAACCCACAGCCCAGTGCACCTCACAGGACAAATGCATTTTACACACAGCTAACACCCAGTGGTGAGTTTTCCTGTGTTGTATCCTCAACACGAATTTCGGTGCTCTAAACACTAAACTCATCAGAATTCAACAACTAACTCTTGCTAATCTACAAGTTCTTTTTCTTTATTTAACTTCATTGGAAATGTATTTATAAATTTCAAGTAAGAAATCATCTCTGTCCCCTGGATTATAGTTTTGAACATCTTATAAGAGTTATCAAATGTCTTTATTGCATTTTCCCTTTGTGTTCAGTGGGCAAAAATGGAAAAGCACCCATGGCTATTATACCTCTGCTCAATCCCGAGAACTAGAGTGAAAATCCCTACAGTCTCTGCCCCTACAAACAGCTCTGAGTTTGTGTGCTCCTCTACCCAAGTCAATCAAATGCTGAAGAATCCCTGCCTTGTGGTCAAGTTCAGAAGGTTAAAATGTCTGTCTAGTAATGAGGTGACAGAGATATCACAGAACCTGCAATCCCTTTTGAATTAAATCAGCACAAATATGACAAGCATGTATAATTCTTTTTGCCCCTAGAGCCAAGAATACCCATCCCCCACCCCTCCTGCACCATGCAAGGGAAACTAGGCTGAACGCAACAGTAGATGAAGAAGAAAGACAGTCACGCTACTATACATCTTTTCTGCCTCGGGGGAGACGCACGTGGCTACTTAAGTAGACCAGAGTAACTGGGCTGTGTACTCTGACCCTAAGTGCAAACACTCAGGAGATCTCTCCACTGAAGTAAAGGAATGTCACACAACGGGTTGTTTGAAAATCAGCCCAACTCGTTTTTGAGCATGTGATGGTCTGTAGCTGCGTTTCACAAGGTTCAACAACAATCATGTGATTAGAGTTTAAATAACAAGGACCAAAACAGTGATTCGCACATTGTATCCCCAACTGCCATCTCATGCAGATTTTTGGTTTTGTTTATTTTTAATTTGAGCTCAGTGGATTTAAATAAGCCTCCCCAGCAAAGCCCTTTTCATACCTGGAGTTGGACTTTACCTATCTAGAAGCCCGAGTTAGCACAGGTTAAAAGGAAAGTAAGGAGACAGATAAAGAGAAAGCCGGCTGAGAGCCCAGGAGAGCGCAATTAGACCAGATGATAAACGGTCTCAAGTCAGAGCAGAGCGCACAGAACGTGCTTGCTACAGAGGGAAGTTTTTCACTTGCCCGAAATGGGGCTTAGAAAAAAATATAACCAGATACATATTTGAAAAAAAAAAAAAGAAACATTCTTTGGGAGGCAGTGAATCACTTTAAGCATTTTTAAACAAATTCATTTGGTTATATCATCATTGCTGTTCTAAAGAAACAGCCACTGTGGAAATGCTGATAAGACTGTCTAGCAATATCTCAAGAACTTGCCAGAGAAAACCCTAGAACACCGTGAACTCAATGGAGCAGCACAAATAGCCTTCAACATGGAAAATGAGCTTATTGACAGAAAGAAAAGAAAAAATCAGGGTTTATGTTTTGGTTCATTTTCTGACTTTTTCCTTTTTTCTTCTTTCAGTCAATAAACTTAATTTGAAATGTTATTTAGATAAAGAAAACCAATGGGTATTTCTTCTTATGGCTTAGCTATCAGTCTAGTTAAACTTAACTAGCAGGTTAAAGTGATTTGAAAAAGAAGCCATTAGAGGTGGTTTACAGCAAGAATTGGATTATTAATGTATTGACCAAAGATGCCAGATTCCCTCTCTGAGAATGACGAAACCTCTGGCTCAGTGGGTGTTCCTTACAGGTTTGTGTGACTGCCGCCCTGGTTCTCAGGATGCCCACTTCAATTATCTTTCTCCTTTAGCTTTAGTACAACGAGTATTGCTGTAGAGTTGCCATTCACATGCTCTGTATGGCAAAAAAATGTTGCACCGTTTTTTTCAGAGCCTTAGAGACAGATGGTCTGCAGCCCTGAAAAGCGGCACACAGTTAACTGAAAGAAGGCCATCTGCATCTGCTCACACTTAGACGGAATGTTTCTCCTTGTTTCTTATTCCCACAGTGTCTCTTCTAATTCTTCAATCACCTCTAGGTAGCAGTGTTCAAGAAAAACACTACTCGGTTAGGCTAACCCATGTCAAAACAGTGTTTCTAACACACAGCAAAATTTAAAAATTCTCCAAGCCCAGCTTCAAATCCCTTCTGGAATGCTTGCATCATTACATATCAGTTTTATCTACAAACCCCAAAGGTTCCCAATTTCCAAACTCCCAAATTTGCATAAGATGACAAGCACTCATGGCTCATGCGTGATATAGAGAAAAATCTTGCATATGATGACCTGTCTAGAACTCTAACTATTCAGGGATTTCAATCCTCTAGCAGAGTCCAACTTAGAGACAACGGTCCTGAAGATGAAGCTCAGACCTTTCCCAGACGATCAACAGTGCTTTACATATAATGTTAGCAGAGTTTGTGCCACAGAAGCCTTAAGCACCCTCTGAACTCCGTTCCAGAGTAACCAAGAAGCAGTGACTTGTGAACTTAAGAATAAAGACAAAGGAAGCAGTTTGGAGTCAAGTCAGTGATACATATTCCAACTATTTTAAAGGACCCTCTTTTATTTCAGACATAATAGCACTTAAAATTCTTGGGGGCAGAGAGGTTCTTGTGGGTGTTCTAATACTATTCAAAAAAGACACACACACACACACTTTTTAAAAAATCTTGTTCCTCAAAACTCTTCTTAGATTCGAGACTGCATGATTTGAATTTTCCCCATTTCTAATACATGTATCTGCCAGCTTAGAAACCAGTTTCTCAAATGACTGAAAGCTCCTTCGAAAGTCAAAGGGCGTCTTTTTCATTTCAAATTCCTAGCTCTTCTAATGTGTTTAATCCCTTATCATTTACCGAAGTTAATGTTTTACAGCGCAAACAAAAACCAGTCCTGTGCCCGGTGTGGTTTCAACTTCTCTGAGTTCTAAGTTTTAAGAGGGCAGCAACATTGGGTGGCCATCCGAGCGCCACTCCATCGTGTCTGCTGCAGCCTCTGTGGGTTGCTGTAGATGCAGCCTGGTCTAACTTGCGTGGAAAAATGCAGCCTAGGAAATTTTTCTGCAATAGCAAAAACAATCAGTTTCCCATCCCCCACCGCCCATCCAGCTTCTCCTTCCTCCATGGGCGGAGGTATAAAAGCAAAGCAAAAACATTTCGGTTGGATAAAATCATCCTTTACTAAATGAGTGGCATTAGGAACCGGTATGCTTCGTATTTGCAGAAATGGGCATTCAGAGGTTAACCTAGTGCCTCCCCAAAGCCTTAAATGTACAACAAAACTCACTAAAAGTACGACCTACTGCTAAAAGGTCTCATTTACTTTAAAGTACAGAGTGTTCTTTTTTTAAATGCCCACGTTTTTTAAACACAGCCAGAACTCAGGGACAATTACTAATCCTCGGGAAATAGGCACACATGTGTCTTCATGACTGACCTCAGTGGGCAAATGTTCGCAAGGGAAAGTCCTAAACTGCAAAGCATGATGGACCAGGAACGCCTTTCGTGGTAGCCTGATTGGTTCCCAACACCACCAGTGAGCCATCCCTTGCAGGTAAAGAACTCTGCCTGTCCCGAGCGAGCAAAAAAAGAAACCAAACTTTTCCAAATAAGCTAGTTCGGTCTCGCCAACCTAAATCCAACAGGTGTCAACACACATCGCCACAGATACACATCTTTCTGAATGTAATCTAGAGCATCATGGAGTGATTAGCGAAGAAACTGAAGGAAAAAAAAAAATCCGGTCTCTAAGAGGATTGTGGAAAAGCAAAAACAAAACCAGCTTGGTCCCTAGCCCAGCTGAACCCTAGGCAGTGGGGTCAGGGAGCGGAGATGGGAAATCTCTGCTCGCGCTCAGGGACGTGCGTTGCTCTGGGGTCTCGGAGCATTGCCCCTGCGCTGTCCACCCAGCACCACAGTGAAGCAGGGAATCGCCTGGGGCTGGAAGCCAGGGAAAGGAGAGTGCGTGGTACCTGCTTGTCCAGGGCGTCCCGGGCGCCTGCCGGTCCCGCGCCGGTCCTGGGTGGTGCGGGTGTCCGCTCGCAGCTGCAACCTTCCAGGAGGTACATGCCCGCCGGGCGGCCGCTCTGCTCGCCCTCGAAGTAAAAGAGCACATTCTGGTAGAGAGCGAACCACTTCTCGTGCCAGCGGCTCGCCTCGGCCGCCTTCTTGCTCAGGAAGCCCCGCTTGGTGCCCTCCTTGCGCGCCAGGAAGGCCAGGTACAGGGCGTGCCCCTCGTTGTAGCGCACGCTTTTCTGCATGGCGAGGGTGCGGGACGCGGTGAGGGTGGGGCGATGGGGTCGCAGTCTCAGCCCCGCGGCGGAGCCATCATCGAGTGCTTTCCGGAAAGACGCACCCCGGCCCGCCTGCCACAGGGCACCCCGCCCGCCGCCCAGACCAAGGGCGCCGAACCGGGCTGGGGCACCGTCTCCTCCCCGACCGCGCCCTCTCGAGTCCCCGACGCCTCCCGATCCCCCGAAGCCCAGTGCCAAGTAGCCCTCCGAGGGCGCCCGTACCCACGAAGTTACTGCGGGAGCCGAGCCCCCAGCGGCGGGTTGCGCAGTGTGGCGCGCGGCAGCCGGAGGACTGTCCTCGGGCTAGGCACTCCGGGAGACAGAAGGTAAAACGTCACGTGGGAGATCAGCTGTAATCGGCTTGGAGACCGATTTAAAGGGTAAAGTAGGCGCGGTGGCTGCTGCGAAGGCGCTGCCTACTCTCCCTAGCGTGCATCCTTCACTCGCCTGCCAGGACCATGGCCTCCGCCTCTGCCCAGGCCAACCCCTGATGGGGCAGATAGCCCTGGAGGGGCAGGAGCGTGGTGGCACCCAGCCGCTCACAGCAGAAACATGCACAAATAAGCCCTCACGTACACACAGGCAAACGCACACTGAACACACGCATAGAGACCAGTACCCGCACGCAAACAGCACACATGCACGCAAATACAATAGGCACACGTTGACAAGTGTGTGTGCACTCACAACATAAATTAGCAAACATCCTTTCACTCAATGTTCACTGTCATACACATAAGAGCACAAGCTACAATCACAAATAATACACTACTGTGCACACATACACATTCACAATTACAGAAACACACCCATTGTATGTACTTCTCAAAAGTGCACACCCTCGAATTTTCACTTACACAGGCCACTACATACATTTACAGACCTTGGTACTCAAACATGCTTATATTTACTGTACACAGTGTATATACATTTATAATCATATACACATCCACAGAAACATCAGACAAATGGATACCTATACATGGACAAATCCATCAGCCCTTCCAGTCATACACACATACAAATACGCACACATTAAGAATCATAAGCATATGTAAATAAATGCAAGTCCTCCTAAACACAGTCATCAGATACAAGCGCTTACAGACAGAAAACAACGGACAGTTACATAGGCACTTAGATCCACACATTTTTACAACCCTTGTGCATGCTCTCAGACTCACAGAAAGGTTCAGTAGCAGCAGGTGGAGTCACAAGGCAGCTTTGCATAAACCACAATGTTGGCTTTCCAGCTTGTTCCCGACCTGTAGAGTTTAAAACTAGCAGAGAACGTTCATAGAAGTCGAGTGTTCCCAGAAAGCCAGCAGATGCGTCAATTCCTTTTGAACACCTGCTATTTCATGGGATTAAGATAAAAGAAGCTAAATGTTAAGCATGGAGTTTTAAGTAGGGGGAGGGATAACACTATGAAGGAGATCTTGCTGGCAGGGGCAGAAACTGTCCCCGGGAGGTCACACTGTCACAGGCTGAGCAGAGTCCCTTCCTAAGACTAGAAATCATTTGATTAACAAACCTCACAGGTACCGCTGGAAAACCAAGATGTTCTGCTCAAACAAAATACAAGTGAAAGAGAAAGGATGTTCCAGAAGCTTCCAGAAGAACTGCTGAAGCCCCACAGTGCCCTCTTGGATTCTGTCTCGCAGTGGTTTTGTTTGTTTGTTTTTGTTTTTGTTTCATTCCCCGCAACCACATATTAAAATGAGCGAGCAAACCAGTACTGGAGAAAGCAACAGAATAGTAAGCTGTGCCTTTCAGGGCAGTGAATTGGTGAAACACCTGTCTGGTCCTGCAGTTGTGCACTCACAAATTGATCTCCGCAGGGTCCTCCCGCTCTGAAAGGGCTGTCTTTGCAGACTGTGTTAACTCTGCCTCCCCGAATGGCTGACGGTTTGCATTTTACCGTCAAGGAAAACTTTGCTATTGAAGTTCATGTAATAGGAAAATTGCCCTTTTGAGACGACTGTGAGAGAACAGAAGCCATCCTTTTACATGCCTTTATGTATCCGAAGGGCAGCGGCGCGTTGAGCTGGCTTAGCCCAGTGGAGAACTTGTGCTGTTATTTAGAGGGAAAATGTTAGGTTGCAGTCCACACCGTTCTAGAAGCAGGGCAGAGGGTGATAGCCTCTGAGGCCTCTCTGTTCCTTTGCCGTGATCCAGCTGTATCCAACTCTGAGAAAAGCAGTTGAAACACTCCGGCTTCAAGCTGAAGCCAGAATGGGTCTCACACCAGAACAAATATTCACGACAATTCTGTCATGAGCATTCGTACCTTCTAACGCCTTATTTCCTCATGAGCATTCTTCCTTCTAAGTCCTTATGTTCCCTCAGGGGTGAATGACTCCTGTCCTCTGTAAGTACTGTCTCTGACATCCAGGTATTATCAAATGTCCCCTCTACCTACAGAAATGTCCTTATTTGAGTCCCAGGAAAAATTTGTTTAGCCCTTGTCTGTTCTCACTTTCTGAGGACCTCATCTGCCCAGGGCAATGAAAGGGAAAAAGTTCTAGTATTGTTGTTGCTGCAGCTCTTATGCATCTTTTCTCTCTCTCTCTCTCTCTCTCTCTCTCTCTCCCTCCCTCTCTCTCTCTCTCTCTCTCTCTCTCTGTGTGTGTGTGTGTGTGTGTGTATGTGTATGTGTGCGTGTGTATATACAAATGAATGTGTGTGTGCATGCCTGTATATGAGTGTGGGTATAGTATATGTAGACAGTTGGTCCTCACCTTGTTTGAGACATGTTCTGGTTTTGCTCACCACCACATATGCTGAACTACCTGGCCCTCAAGTTTCCAAGGACTGTCCTGTTTATACCTCCCATTTCACCACAGGAGTGTGGAAATTACAGATGCGTGATACCTTGTCCGGCTTTTCTATGGGTTTTGGAGACCCTCATTCATGTCTTCATGCTTGCAAGATAATTGCTTTGCCCACAAGAGCCATCTCTCTAGTCCCTGTAGTGGATTTTAATTATGGAAATCCACTGCAACGGTTGTTGGCCATAAGCTGATGTCCTCAGTACTGTTCTGAAGTGGTGTGGAATGGTGTGGCTCGGGCTATCCGTGTGCTCAGTTCAGAGGAGGCGTTCCTGGTTGGGAACATCTCTCTTGATTCTTAGTAGCAAAACCAGCTCTTTAATGAATGCAGCACCCACAGAGAGGGTTTACATGCAGTAAGTGTGTAAGCGATGCACAAGTATTTCTACAAGGAGGGTTTACATGCAATAAATGTGTAAGTGATGCACAAGTATTTCTGCAGGGAGGGTTTACATGCAGTAAGTGTGTAAGTGATGCACAAGTATTTCTGCAGGGAGGGTTTACATGCAGTAAGTGTGTAAGTGATGCACAAGTATTTCTACAGGGAGGGTTTACATGCAGTAAGTGTGTAAGTGTTATACAAGCATTTCTGCAGGGAGGGTTTACATGCAGTAAATGTGTAAGTGTTATACAAGTATTTCTGCAGGGAGGGTTTACATGCAGTAAGTGTGTAAGTGTTATACAAGCATTTCTGCAGGAAGGGTTTACATGCAGTAAATGTGTAAGTGTTATACAAGTATTTCTGCAGGGAGGGTTTACATGCAGTAAGTGTGTAAGTGTTATACAAGTATTTCTGCAGCGAGGGTTTACATGCAGTAAGTGTGTAAGTGTTATACAAGTATTTCTGCAGGGAGGGTTTACATGCAGTAAGTGTGTAAGTGATGCACAAGTATTTCTGCAGGGAGGGTTTACATGCAGTAAGTGTGTAAGTGCTATACAAGCATTTCTGCAGGAAGGGTTTACATGCAGTAAATGTGTAAGTGTTATACAAGTATTTCTGCAGGAAGGATTTACATGCAGTAAGTGTGTAAGTGTTATACAAGTATTTCTGTGAAGGCGTAAGTCACAAACAATGCCACACCAATTCGGGGTTATGATTATTAGGGTGGTATTTATTTAAAGGGGAAAAAACTTACAGATCACTGTCCCAGGCAGCAGCCCTCTACGCAACCAGGAAAGGAGTCTAGTCGCAGGCAGAGCAGGAAGTGAAGAGAGAGAGGAGAGGGAAGTGGCCGCTTTTTTAAAGGGAGAGAAACCACGCCCCAATGGGCTGGTACCTCAGCGGTGATAGGCTGGAGGAGTGGGAGGACCTCCCGCAACACCTCCCCCTTTTGTTTAAATAAGAGAGTTCTAAACCTACTATGAAATTATATACAATAAGTACAAATATCCTATTCTAACTAGCTTAGGTCTTGTATAATAAATAACTTGGCCAAGTCATGAGAGAAAGTAACTACATTTATATAGTCTTCAACCCCATCAAAGATCTGAGAAGGGAAATAATGTTACCTGGGTAATTAGGAAGTTCAGTAAAACAAATTCCAAAACATGCAACAAATCACAGAGACAACTGGCTACCTGGGCAATCACCCAAAATCACGTTAGCAGCGTTGAAGCAACCAACTTTGGCTAAGGCCTAACATAACTGACATACCATTTTCAAAGGCAAGCAACTTTTCAAAACTATCTTACCCTGTCTTGGCAGGATATGACAGCCCTGTTTTATCCATTGATGCACGCTCTGTATCTTTGTCAGTCATTGAGGTATGGGCATTTCTTTGCCCCAAGGCCAGTTCTGCCAAAAAGAAGGCTCCAGGTGGAGTGTCTTTGGTGCTCAACATTCTCTCGGGAATAGAGTGGTGTTGCCAGGAGCAATTGTGTCTCACTACCACAAAACTCTGAGTTAGATTAAAGGCCATTTTCTACAGCTCTTTGAAGAAGTTGAAGATTATCTATCTATACTGAGTATAATCTCTATATATCTAAAGAACCTGATTAGTCTATTATAAATGACAAACTTAGATGACTATTAGTCTATATAATTCTCAATATCTATCTAACTTAAAGACTAAGACAATAAACGACTGTGAAACAAATGAGGACAATGACCTCCAAATATAAACAATGTACAAATATACATTGCAGTAGGTAAATATATATCAATACACAATCATTATATAAGTATCTTAATCAGAGGTAGAAATGTACACTGCAATATGGTAAATATATACTATATATATATATCAATACAATATATGTCAATACATAAAAAATGTTTTAAACAGAGGTAGAAACATGCATGCGTACAATAGTCAATATAATTTAACTTTGTATCAATATACAAGAATCTATACCAATGTATTTGTCTAAAAACAGTAACTCACAATTACAAATCTATTATCCCATCATCCCTCTTTTTTTTTTTCAAAATGATCCCTGAGCGTATAAAATTCCTCCCCCAACTCTCAATCGTATACTAATTATAATCAACCCCTAAATGATGTCCCTAAACCCAAGGGCAAACTTTACTGGGAGAGGGGACGTCGTCCTCTAGAATTACTTCCAGCTGTCATGGGGGCGACGTTCTTTCTGGGGGATCCTGTGAAAGTAAAATGATGGTTAAATTTCAAGATCAATGTCTTTTAAAATTGCCAATAGTCTCTGAGTATTTTGTGCAGGTCTGGCCAAAATGTTGTATAAGA